CCTGGGCAGCTGCCTGGCCTGGGTGAACAGCATGCTGGGATGGCGGAGGCGAGCTGATCCAGCAAGCGCGCTCTCTCGAGACTCCCGTGCGGCTGCCTTGTCGCAGTGGCGAGAGGACCAGGCAGCGACCTCCGGCCCCCACTGCACCATGAGTCTCCCAGGGGGTCCTGGGCCCTGTCACAGACTCCCAGCCTCGCCTGCCTCACAGGATCATTGTTGTGGGGATAAAACGGAGATGAGAAGAACCAGGGAAGGTGCTGTGGGTCCTCTGCGCGTGAGCAAGAGGCAGGGCCCGAGGCTCATGTGATGCACTGGCCCACCCCGTGGGGTCTCCAGCCAGCTCCACCTCCTGTCCCACCTGCTGCACAGGAGATGCCCGGGAGAACCCAGGACTGTCCGAGGAACGGCAGGACTCTGCCGCTTCTTGGCTCGGGCCTGCCCTGTTTCCCCCGTGGGCTTCTATTAATTCTGACGGCCGAAGCTCTCCTGGCAGCTTACGTCTTGTGCAGTGCCTCCAGACACTTAAGACATCAAAAGAGGGTGTGTGGCCTAGTGGTTAGAGATGACCTCGGGGGCCAGGGGTTCAATCCCTTCCACAGTCCACAAGGTGGCTTCAGGGCAGTCACTCACTCTCAGTCTAGCCTCCCTCACAGGGTTGTTGTGAGGACACCATGGCACGCAGGGGGACCATGCAAGCTGCCCTGATTTCCTTGCAAGGGGTAAAAAAGCTTTAAAAACAGAAAATAAATGCAACAATACACATGCAGATCAGATGAATTTTCAGCCGGATTTGTTCCCGTTCACAAGGTTCCAAACTACCAACTTTTGGACTTAGGAGCCCCTCCCCTCTTCCAGGAGGACCAAGGAAGCTCCTCTTGGGGGCTACCAACATTCAGGCTGGAAAAGGAGGAGGCCCCAAAATCACCTGCATCTCTGGAGCCAAGCATCAGGCTCCCCAATTAATGGAACAAATTGCTCCATTTGCATAAGTGCAATCCTGGCTGGGAACAGCCCCTCATCCATTAGCAAAGAATTTGGGTGCTGGGAGAACAAAGAGGAGAGAAGGGGAAGGGAATAGGTCAGGGGGTTAAATACTCCATGGAAATAGAGCCATTTCAGTTCGTGAGGACCTGGGAGACACCGTCCCAGCCACAGCGAATCCTGCCACCACGCACAGGACATGGGAGCGCAGCGCCCCCGTTCTGCTCAGGGACCGGCCCCCCACCCTCTGCGTGGCTGCAACGGCAGAGAGGACATGAGCAGCGGGGGGCACACGGACCCATGAGTTCGCGAGCCACACTAAGCGTGAACCCCGAAGCGGCCCTCCTCCCGCCCTGCACAGCAGGACACCCCGCTAATTGGAAGCCCCTTGCCTGGGAAAGCGAGCGCCCCGATGATGCCGCCACTGGGTGGCTGGACCTGTGCCCGGTGCCCCCACAGAAAGCCCACAGAGCTGACCCCCCCCCCCGCCGGATGCCCTCAGGATGCCTTGCACTTCACTTCCCATCAGCCTCAGCCAGCAGGGCCAACGGACGGAAACCCTGGCAGGGGCCGCCCACAAACCTCCAGCGAGCGGCAGGAGGAGGCGGCTGCTTTGCTGGGGAGGAAGCTGTGCTAAGCGCATCCGAGGTGCCCGGCCTCCCCGTCCCGACGCAGGAGGGCTCAGAATGAAGCAACGCCAGAAGGAAACCCGGGACGGAAGGGCCACAGCCGCTGCCTTCAACAGGACGCGCTGCTATCAGATTGCATGTCCCGTGGGCCTGAGTCACAGCCAAGCCTGCAGAGGGGGCTCCCTGGGCATCCGCTACATAAATCTGGCGCCCGAGGGACCAAAGGCTGCCGCCGGCCAGGCCGGCACAATTAGCCAGAGAAGCCTCCGCCCTGCTCGCCAGACCCAGGGGCTGCAGATCGGCTGCAAGCACTCGCCTCGTGCACCGGACGAGGCCTGCAGAGGCTTGGCACACAACGCTTGCAGTCCCGCGAGACCCTTCTGTGCTGCTCAGGCCACGTGCCACCAACGAGGGGCCCTCCAGAAGCCTTGGATGACAACTCCCACCACCGGCTGCAGGATTCTGGCAGCTGCTCCCCGGCACATCTGGCAGGCACCAGCTGGCCACAGGCGCTGCTGCCCGGAGGAAGAGGAAGGCCGCGAGAGCCCCCCGCCACACAAGCCTGCCTTCTGAAGTCCTTGCGTGCTGCACCACGACACCATGGAAGCAAAAGCCACGCAGAAGCCACGCATTCTGCCGGGAGTGGCCAGGCGGCCCTCCACGAGCCACGACCGGGGAACTCGGCTTGGGCTGGCAAAGGGCGACGTGCGTGCCCTTCTTCCAGGAAGATGGCAGCAAACTGCTTGCCGGCACCCTCAGCCCCCACCGAGGGGCTTCCGAGGCTCAGCTCGTGGCCCGCAGCGGCTGGAATCCAGGGGCCGCCACCGAACCCTTTCAGCTGCCGGGCCACATCCAGAGAGGCGCTGGGCAGGCATATGCCAATGGAGGCCTGGGCTAGCGCATCTTTTGGCTGAAAATCCTGCCCATAACATGGGGCTTAAGGGGAGGGACTTTTTAGAAGGCTTTTCTTCTAAAAGACTTTTAGAAGGGGGAGGGACCCGTGCAAAAGTTGGAAAACCATCAGCTGGCCAGGGGCCTGGGGGAAGAGGCCTGCTGTGGGGCTGGATCTCCCCGAAGGGGCGAGCTTCCTTACCCTGCCTTACTGCCTCGCCCCAACCCTCACCTCCAACCAGGCCTGGCCCAACGAGAGCCCAAGGTGGCACGCGGCTGGGGCAGGGCACAATGCCCACAGCTGCCTCTCAGCAATGCCAGGGGTCTTGGAGAGGGGGGCACCCCTGCCTCTCGGGGGGGCAGAAAGGCAGCCGACGACACGCTGCTTCCAACACTCTGGGGTTTCGCTCCCAGCGTCTCCGGCTCCAAGAAACCCACCCGCACTGCGAGGAGCACTCCCTGCCTGAGCCGATTTATACCGGCAGAAGCGGCCAGGCGAATGCCCAGCCAGGCAACACCTGGCCGCCTCCAGAGTAATCCATGCGCTGCTTTCGCACAGCTGAGCACATCCTGAGAGGAGGAGGGCAGGTTAGCCTGCTCTTGCCTCTCTGTCCTCCCACATTAAAGCACCTTAAGCTGGTCCTGCCCCCCCCCCCCCACAACAGAAATGAAGTCTAAGTGCATTGACTCGCATTCATCCTTCCCTTCAACTGCTTCACTCTCGAGATGTGATTGTAAGCGCCTCAGGGCAGGGGCCAGCTGCCCTTCTGCTTATTTAACTCTGCAACTTGCTGTCAATGCACATTAACAACCCTGTTGATCCAGCTATGCGTGGCACGCACTGCATCCCTTCCAGTTTGCAGGCTGACAGGGGCTGCTGCCACAGGGGTACACTGCCTCTGTGCATGGAGGTTCCGTTGAGCTACAAGGGCGCATCGAATGAGGGACGGGGGGCTGATACTGGGCTGCCACCCAGAGAGGCAGGGAGAGCGCAGCGCCCACGGCCGGTTCCCCCTGCCTTCCCAATGCTTCCACTCTGTCTCTTGCCAGCTGTTCAGCTCCTCTGGAGGGTCTGCCATCTCCTTTCCCCCAAAAGGGTGGCCTGCACATTCCAGAGGCCATTCGAGGTCATCTGGCAGCTTTTTGTTGAAGCAGAAGAGGGTGGAGTCACGCTTAAAATGCTGCAAACGGGACGGTTTGGGAGGCCGGGAAGCAGCAAGCCGTCATGGCTGCCAGAACGGGTGTTTCTGACTCAGCACGCAGCTCACCCACCACCGGCATCTGCAAGCTGATAAGCTTCAGGGAGCGCTTCTCTGCTCGGAAAAGCCTGCCTGGAAAAGGTGAGGTGGTGGCGATAATGGAGAGCAGATCCCCCAACCATCACTCCATACCTCCTGTGCAGAGGAACTCCCCAAACTGCACTCTTCCTTCTGCGAGAGGGAGGGAGAGAGAGAACGAGGCGCCCAGCTAAGACTGGCCCCTGCTCTGCACTTGCTCCTGCCATAAGCCGGAGGTCATTCCGGCCAGTAACACAAGACTTTCTTTCCATCTTTCCTCCTCATCCCGGGCTGCAGGCCCCTCCGGGATCCCCCCACCAAGCCGCACTGCATTCTGCTGAGCCGCACCACCCAGGCTGCACCCGATGGCTCCCACCCATCGGCAGGGCCCACCCCGCATCCCTGGGAGCTCCAGAGCTAGCCGCCCACAATGCCCCCACTCCCACGGTCTCCCTGGCAGGGGGAAGCCCGGCTTGGGGGCCGGCGTGATGCCTTCAGAGCAAGACGCCCGGCAAGGAACAGCGCCACCCACTTCCCATGCGAATCATCCGACAGGCGAGTGCCCCATTTTGATTCCCCCCCAGGAAGATGCACGCAAGGCCCCGAGGCAGGAACGGCACCCGAGGCAAGATGGGGACGGAGGGGCTGCAACCCGTATTTTACAAACTGAAGCATCTTTTGAACCCCGCAACCAGATGCCTTCTTCCTTTCCACCTCCAAAGCGCAAGAGACAGCCATGGTTGCAAGCCTTGGCAACCGAGCTGCCGCTAGTTCTGCGGCATTTCTCCAACATCCCAGTGCGAACTCCTGCAGGAAATGCTCTTTCCATAAATCCCACTAAAGGCCCTGGGATGACAGAGCTCATGGATCCTCAGCCTACCGTGAGGCAGAGCACATGAGAAGGGGCCGGGGGGACGGCACAGGGGAGACGCCTCGCTGCAGCACCCCGTCACACGAGCTTGGTGTGCGGACCTGCCAGTCGGCCAAAGGCCCGGTCAAGTCTTCCCTTACAGAGGAGGAGCAGGAATGGTTTTTGGAATAGTGAAAGGAAAGAGGCAGTTGGGTACCAGGGGCAGGGCGGGGTGTGGGATAAACAGAGGATTTCTGTTTAAATAGGAAGTGTATTTTGAGAGCAGGCACTCTGTCAGGCAGGGAGCCCGGCTGCGGAAAGCCAGGTGACGCGCCTGCTTCCGGCGCCGGCCAGTGTCAGGCGAGAGCCTACCTTCCGATACCGGCACGATGTTGATCACTTTGAGGTTAAGGTTGGAGAGCGGTGCGCAGGCGATGTTCTTCCCCAGCCGCTGCACGAAAGGCAGAACGAAGCTGATTTCGTACTTGTGCAGTATCTTCAGGAAGCCGACCTGCGAGGGGAGAGCGAGGCGGGGTTAGCTGCACCGTGGCAGGACGGCCGTCGCCTTCCAGAAGCACCCCGAACCCACGAAGCAGCCGGGAAAAGGCGCCCGTGGGCAAGCGCTGCTCCACACGCCGGGGGCGAGGCGGCTCCAGGCCTGCCTCTCCCTGGGAGCGGGGCTTGGCTCTACTCGCCACGGAAGCCACCCCAGCACGGCCGTCTACAAAGCCTCTTCGCCGCTCCGGGGGACCGGGCTGCGCACCGGCAGATCGTGCTTGATCACCGGTGCGTGATGCTTCCGTGGATCCCAGGCTACCCGTTCAGCAAAAACTCCCGCTTCTTAACGTTAGGTGCCGCAACTTCTCCTTAATAACAGTTTGACTAAGCCGGTTAATTGGTGGAGGTGTAGCACAGCCAAAGGCTTCTTTTAAGCAGAGTCTACTGTGCCTCTTTTTTAGGGAGGAAGCTATAATAGGGATAAATGCTGTACTGGAATCCACTTTAGTATTTACTGATACGTTCAATTTAAATTATCTACCTACTCCTGAAAGTCAACACAGGATCAACATATCCTTTGCATCCTTTTGACAGCTCAATGGCTCATAAAACAACAGTAGAAAAAGAACAACTCACCTCTTGTAGTGAAAGGGACTGAGGAACTAAAGATGCGTTCAACGTTTGAACAGGTGGCATATAGACACCACTTTCAAACGAATACATATATAATTTTGTTGAAGGTTTTACCCACATATTCACGTTCAAAGAAACAAGCAAGGCAGAAGGGGCCTCCCGGGCCATCTAGTCTGACCCCCGGCTCCAGGCGGCTCTGCTCAAGCAATCCTTAACAGGTGGTTGTCCAAACCTTCCTTGAACCCCGCCACTGATGGGACCTCAATCACCTGCCTTGGAAGACCTTTTGATATCTGAGGGGTCCTGGCCATCATGCAGTCGTATTTTTATTTCCCCTTCTTGTTTTGCTTTCGAAATGTGCAAAGAAAAAGAAATTAGGGAAAAGAAACTCTTCTTCTCTAAAAGAAGGGGCAACTCTTAAAGGACTAGAGTGACCATACAAAGGTGCTGATTCTGAAATGCATGGACAGACACATCGGGGCGGGGGGCTGAGGTGAGCTCAGAGGCCACGTCCCTCTCACACAGTACTGCTGCCGTTGGATGGTGGCAGCCCCCCCCCCCCCCCCCGGCCATCACCTGCAGCCAGCCGGCCTCGAATTGAACTGAGGGCCTTCTCAGGGAAATGAGGGGTGGCCCCATTTCATTCTGAGGCACTACCTAAGCCCTGGCACATTCTGAAGTGCTCACAGGGCAGCTCCTCCCTGCAGCAGGCATGCACAGGCCGACAGACACACCTGGCCCTTCCCCAGGTGAGCTCTTGAAAGGCAAGGTGCGAACTGAACCCAGGCTGGCGGGTGGGGCAGCTGGGAGCAGAAGATAGCTCCCCTCCAGGTGAAGGGGAACCAGCAATCACCCCCACGGGGGCTCGTCTATCTTGCAGTGACTCACGAAGTGCCAGACCCAGCAAAGCTGGCTGGACCAGAGCAAGTTCCAAAATCCCTTCCGCCCAAGCCAGGGGCCTCACCTCTTGGCTTCCACCTTGGCCAGTTCTGCTCCGATTTTGGTTGCAGTAGAGAAAAGGGGCTTGATCCGTCCTCGCAGCCCCATCCAGGGGAGGGCGCGGGGGGGCATGTTGCAAATCACAGGCTGCCACCTTAACAGCCGTCCCAGCTTGAAAAGCCCTCTTTGAAGGAGTGGCTCCCCGGAGAAGGGTCTTTTCTGTGGTGGTGCCCAGCTTTGGAACATGCTCTCCAAAGAGGTGCTCCTGGCACTGACACTTTATTCATGTTGGCACCAGGCCAAACCCTTTATATTTTCCCGGTATCTGAGGAACTGATTTAGTTTTAATATTGGTTTTTATTGGGTTTTGTTTATTTGGTGCTGCTTTGATTGTTGTATCGCCATCCTGAGACCTCAGTAAAGGACGGGGTAAAAATGTCATAGAAGGGTAGATTGATACATCGATGGACGGATGGACGGATGGAGAGATGGGAATTAGACCAATCATTGTGCAAAAGCTGGGCAGTCGTCAAACAAGCAGTGCTTGGGAAAGGGGGAACCTCATGGGGCCAGGCTGGGACCCGTGCGGGCACGGCCCCCACAGGGAAACGCCTCCGGAGAGGGAGAGGGGAGCGGCTCTCGCCTCATCTCACTAGGACCCTGGGGCACTGCTTCTTCAACAACAAGAAGAGGGCCGGACACACAAGCGAGCCCGGGACGGCCCGACGCCGACGGCACTCTTGGGCCGTCCCCAGGCAGAAACCGACTGCCAGGTTTGCACAGCTGGGGAGGGCCGGGAAGTACGGCGCATTAAGCATCACTGCAGACAGATGCACAGTGGCATTCGGAGCGAAAAGAGCAGGCATAATTTACCTGAGCGGCAGGAGCGGAGAGCGGTTGCTCTCAGGGAAAGAGTGCGGGGCTTTGGGGAAGGGAATGGGGAGGCACAGGGTCGAAATGGGCTCGCACACAGCCTGGTTAAGTGAGTCAGCCAGCCAAGGCGCGGTCAGCAACAAGACAGACCAGCGCTGTTAGACGACCGCCATTAAAGAAGAGCGACCGACCGCTGTGTGAGAAGGGGAATCCAGATGGAACGCCTTCCTCTCCCGCAAACCAAAACGACCGACGGATGGAATGCGCTGCCTTGGGGCTGGTGGAGGCCACCCATTTGGGGCGCTCATGGAGGCAGCGGCCATCTGTGGCTACTGGCCTTGCAGGCCGTGGGCTCCCTCCTTGACCGGGGGCGGCCTGCCTGCACACCCCCGTGGCTGAGGGGCTTGGGCCGCCGGAGGCCTTGCCCCCATTTCCATAATTGACACAAAGTGCACATCCCCTTCATTCAACGAATTTGCACGATTCCTGTGATTAGCCTAAGCTGTGCAGATGAATGCACAGAATAACGCGTGGCACCAATGCGCTAACCACTAGGGACCCTCCTCAACCTCACCCACTGTCGGAGCTCCTGATTTTGCTAGCAGGCACTGGGGCTCGAAATGTGCCCTTGTTCCGAAAAACCATGTCGAGGGCCTCAGAGCTCCCGTTCTTGGCTCGGCAGTAATGCCCTTCGGGGTGGCCGCAGGGCACCGCACGGCCTTCCGACCCTCCCCAGGCCTGCCTCTTTCCACACCCACAGGATGCTGCTGGCATCTTTCAACGCAGCGCACTGGAGGGACTCACAGGTCACAGTACCTCCCCCAACCTGGGACGGGAGCTCGCAAGTTGCGCAGAAATCTGAAGGTGCAAATCGTTCAGCCAAGCCAACGGTAGAACGGACAGACGTTGTGCCTGTTCATAAGCTCTTTGAAGCAAGAGGCTGAAGCAGGGGCTGCATCTGCTGGATCACAGCTGCGCAGGTTTGCTCAAAGGAAAGCAAGGGCTGCCCGCACGAGCAACAGACCCACTCAAAAGCGCAACTCTACACCACGAATTTCTCCCATCCTCCAAAACAAACCAGGCACCAGGCTCCTGAGTGCGAGCAGGGAGCACACGACGGCAGCAAGAACGCCACTTGACACTGAAAGCGTGCTCGTGAAAGACCAGTTCCCGGCGTGTGTTATGGAGGCGTGCGCTTGAGACCTACTTACGCCATCTGGCTCCAGGGAAACCCTGATGGCGGCTAATACCCCATAATCCAATCAACACTGCTGCCAAGGTGCACCAGGGCAGAGCTGCGAGGCGGCTTCATCCCTCACCCTCAGGGTGTTCCCAGCTTGCTCAGTTTTGCATGCTCAGTGAGTTAAAACACTGCTGGGAAAGGAGGTGGGAAACGCCACTCCAGGCCTTGGGCATCTGCTGCTCCTCAAAGCAGACAAGCTGGCTAAATGGCTGACTTCCTGCTGGTCCCAGTTAAAAGACCGCTGGGCAGCATGGAGTTTGTCACTGGGCTTCTCGGAACGAGCGGTCTTCTGTCCAGGTGTTGCCAGACTGCCGAGATGCTTAGCTTCGCCAGCTTCCTTCCTCCTCTTGTACCGTCACCCCCACATTCGTACCCCACCTCGCGCGACCCCAAGGCACTTCACGATAGGGCAGTGTGGAGACCTGAACCCGGGCCTTCCTGGACCAGGCCCAGCGCCCCTCGCAGGAGCGCCCTGCTACAGTTCTCGGACTGAGGGTGGACACTCCCCAGCAGAGGGGGGCAGTGGCCACAAGCCCATCAACCCACGTCCCCGAGGCCCCACGGGTTGCTGGACTGTGGGAAAGGATGTGCAACCAGACGGCTCTTGGTCTGACCCCACAAGGCACTTCCAAGGTTCTTATGCCAACTCGGGATCCATTGCAAACATGGATGGAGTATAAAGACATTAAAATATGGCTATCCCTCCACCATTAAGTGCTCCTGAGCATCTCCATATAATATAGACACAAAGCACTCACTCTGTCTCTATATTAAGGGCGGACCACCCGGGTTCTCACAGAGCAAAGAGGCAGCAGCGCAAGCACGATCGGGGCTGAGCCTTCCCTTCATGGGCCACTCACCGTCCCCGTGGCTGAGGCCGTGGGCCTGCCCAGGCCATCCCCGGCACGACTCCCGCCACCCTGGGCCAGGATGGCAAGAGACACCCTGCAGGTGACTCTACCTGCTCTGAGCGCAGCTGGTGCTTTGCTCCACGCTGACGGGCACGATGGCGCAGCGAGAGGGGGGCCGAGCAGCCCACCACCCGAGCGCCCCGCCCAGCCGTCCGACTTTGCAACGGAGCTCAGGCAGATGTGCCAACGGGCTGATCCATGCTAAGAGATATTTTTATGCCTCTGGAACAGCACACAAGACTACTCAAGATGGACCGTTAACTGGCATAGCGATTCCTAAATATTGGACAGAAAGAAGGTGAAACGGCTCAACAGCTCCCGATGGAGGGATGGAATGAAACACACACACACACACACACACACACACACAAACACACACACACGGAGGGGATGTTCCCCCAATCTCTCAGGATG